ACTAAAATTAACATCTTTCCATTGTCACTTTAAAAACACTACAAAGTTAAAAATTAAGTCTGTTTCTTTATTGTCTATCAGTTTTAATATCGGGTGTTTCCTCCTCTAGCCCTGATAACCGCTTGCATTCGATCTGGCATGCTTTGAATGATGTTTCTGACATCAACTTGCGGTATGCTGTCCCAAGCGGCCAGCGCTGCATTTCGGAGCTCATTTAGAGTTTGCGGCGGTTTGGAGCTGGACTTTATCTTTCTTTTGAGCATACCCCATACATGCTCAATTGGATTTAAGTCCGGGCTACGAGCTGGCCACTGTAATTTTTGTATTCCAACCTCTTCCAGATATTCCTCTACACAATGTGCGACGTGCGGGCGTGCATTATCGTGCATGAGGAGGAATTGGTCGTGTCCAATGAATCCCGAATAAGGCATTACGTGCTCCTGAAGAACTTCCTCGATGTATCGAGTAGCTGTAAGCCGATTATCGACGATGACCAACTCTGTACGTGCGTCGGAACTTACACCTCCCCATACCATTATTGAGCCTCCATGGAAACTCACAGTTTGGGTGGTGGTAATGGGTAGAAACCTCTCTCCTCTTTTTCTCCACACTCGTTCTCCACCGTCTGGAGCACGTAAAGCTATTCGACACTCATCTGTGAACAACACTCTAGCCCATTGCTCGTGGGTCCAATTGACATGTTCTCTTGCGAACTGAAGTCGGCCTACTCGGTGCTGTCTGAGAAGTTCTGGACCTCGTGCTGGTCTACGAGCTTTTAAATTCACTTCCTCCATTCGTCTTCTCACCGTACGCTCACTAACATTAACGCCTCTTGCGATTTGGAGCCGCTGGCGTATCTCAACAGCGGTCAGGTAGCGGTTTCTCAAAATCTCCATAACAATAAAACGATCGTCCCGGGCCGATGTGCACCTTACGCCCCCACTGCCTGGCCTGCGGGTGTAGCGGCCTGTCTCCTGGTATCGTTTCAGTGAATACTGCATTGAGGACCGTGGTACGTTAAGCACAATAGCAACTTCACGCTGTGTCAGCCCTTGGTCAATTAATGCTACTGCTTGTGCAACTTGTGCTGGTGTTAATGGCATTTTTATTGGCTTTAAAGCACCTTTAGTTATTTAATTAAGACACAAGATCACAATAATTGAATAACCTTACAGTAAACTTTTCACAACACACAAATTTAAAATGTGAACTTAGTCGCTCAAATGACCCGATTCAACTAAAAATTAAAGAATTCGTCATGGTGCACTTAAACATAATGAATTACCCTCTTGAACTTGAGGGTAAACATTTTTTGACATACTTGCATAACAAACATTCATCAGAAACACTTAAAGCTTTTGCTATCGCGAGATAACCGCTTGGCCAAGTATCCGTGCCGGTGAGTGTATGTACATTCTTTCATCATTAAAATTAGTTTTAACAAAACAATGATGAATTTAAATCCCCCCCCCCCCCCTCGGCTTCAATGCCTTTTACTTAGTCCCTTGGACTTGTTTTTTCAAAAATATATTAGAATTACAGACACAACTTTTCTACACATTTAATAATAATAATAATGTCCCCCAGACCAAATTTTATAGTGCCCAAGTGTATGTGCAAGCACAGGTCATCTCATAATCCAATGGGATGGTATTTCGTCACGACCGGAGAGTGAGAAAACAGGACTAACGGCTTTACGTGCTTTCCAAGGCAAGAGGGGTGAAACGCAGCTAATTTCTTATCTCCAGACTGCTGCTGAGAATTTCTTGATAGAAATACCCAAAAACAGATTTTGGCCCAACCCAGGATCTCATGGTCAACAATTGCATTTACGACACTAGACCAATGAGGCATTCAAGTGTTATTATAATATTAAGGAATAAATTAATGTATTTTCATTGTAATCATTCACATCACAAAATAAAAAATAAAAAGTACCGGCCAAGTGCGTGGCGGGCCACACCTTAAACCATTAAACCCAATGGACACGCCCCGCATGGTTATTTCCCTCTGCCAAGGTAATGGTTTTAAAAACTTTCTGCATTTATAAAAACTGTTTACAGAATCTATTTTATTATTACAAGAATCATTACCACTAAGTAGGCACTCTTTGCCGATCTGTGCAATTAAGGTGTGTAATAAAGCAGTCAAATACTTAAAATTTACAAAAAGATGAAGTTACACTCTATATGTAGATATTTTTATTGTGATACATGCTTTTTTTCTATTAAAATCATTCAAAATAATGTTATAAGTAATAATCGAAAACTTTACCAATTAGGTAATCTGTTACTACCAGATTATACTAAATTATACTGTGGGTCACCCGCATAAACCAAGAGTATTACAAATGAAACTGTGTGAGGCTATTTCATTATATGAGTACTTTGAAAGGGACAACAATAACTACCAACTAAAAAATAAGTGAAAGTAGTAAGTAAGTAAGATTTCTTCATAAAATGTTTATTTCTTACAGTTCACAATAGCATTACTAAGTTATAATGTTGTTTTATGTCATTTTCTATGGAGTTGTAACAAAATTTTTACTAATCCAACTTGTTAATTCTAATTTGCTGCGATAGTTTTCCTTTTACATTATATATGCTACCATTGAGTATACTTTCCACATTTCCAAAAAAGAGTTGGTAGAGGGGACACATGACATGACTCTAATGAAAAATACGACTAAAGCTTAATATTTAACAAAGAAACCGATAAAAGTGAATAAGCTTTTATTGCTAAGCCAGTGTGTGAATTGTAAACCTTACCCTGCGTTATAATCTAGGGCTTACTGCTAAAAGAATTGCTATTAAACATGACAGTGAGAAAGCTTTTAATAGACTTACCAAGGTTCAAGACTGGGGTCTGGGAAGTCTTGGTTCGAGGATATAAAAAACGATCCTCAAAGATCCGATCACAAATGCGGTAGTTATTGTAAATTTCACAATCGGTTTATCCTTTCTAAATACACACACAGCACAGTATATAAATGCACTAGAAATCGGAATAATATTAAATTGATTTTTTTACTTTACTATTAGTGAATAGCGACCGCCATTATTGTTTATTGCGTATGTACGTAGCACATGGATTGGTTCCTTTGCATAGACTTAATACATAAGTGTGCCCTCTAGTTCGATAAAAGTAAGTCTTAGTTTACATGCCCCACACGAAAGATGGCAGCACAAAAATATATCAATTTGTTCTCAAAATAATGTTCTAAGTTGCATGCCCATGTTATCCGTGAAAACGGGTTGGGCTAAGCAGACCCGTATTGATAACAAAAAGTAAAGTAATATATGAAAAGGCATAAAACGCCGTTTAGTGGCGTTGCAGAGAATCCACTACCCTATTTAGTCCCTTTGGTGCTATAACAGGCGTCTACTAGGTATGTAAAAAGTTAGAAAAATGTATACTACCTCGTTTAAGACGTAAAATATCAATAGAGGCGACGCGACGGGCACAAACCGCAGGAACCATGAGAGCAGTTCTCAAAAATTTTGTACGACCAATATTTTTTACGATTTCTAAAAATGTGTTTGTTTTAAATGATTTTATTAAAGAATTTGCTAAAAGTAATATAACATTTGAGTAATTTAATGTTTGTTACCAATAAATATACTTATACCATTTAGGAATAAAACAGGTTTATTTCCGAGCATGGCATTACCGTGTTCAATTTTGTTACTAAACAAAATTCATTCAATTAAATGTGGTTCTTTGATTATTCCGTGTTAAATATTTTATATGATTACATATGAAGGCATTTAAACCCCCAAAAAATTTTACTTGTAAAAGTTTGCTAATTTTTAAATTACAATACAAACATTTTCAACTGTGTTACTTAGGACGAAAACCAAACAATGTTTTTCTATGTATTTTAAAATAAAAATAAAATGTAAATATTGTTTGATGATATAAAATTACAATTTTTCGGCAAGTATTAATAAGTAAATATAATTAATTAAAGTCCAAAACTAAAATTTTCATCAGTTAAAAACCTTCTCTATTTTTATGGACAGTAACAAAATTGATTACGATTGGTAACCAAGAAATTATTAAGGCCCATTTACATTGTTAGGAATACGGGTATAATTACATTTAGTTTAATAAACGGAAAATAATAATAGGACTCTCAATTAAAATAAGCAACCCTTTATTTTAAAATTTATGATGTAACATACGGGAAATAGACTTAATTTCTAGAAATTGGTAGATTTCCCTAAATAAAAGAAAACTCTGTCGTTTGTTGTTGTTAATTAATTCATTTGAATGAGAATGCATCTCCATTCTCATCAAAATGCAAGGATTTAGTAATATAAATGATATAGAAGTTGATATTTCAAAAAAGTAATTTCTAAAAATGCTAAATCTATGCGATTGCATGTCCATTTCAAATCTTTATAAATTTGTTGTAATGATGCTTCTAAGGCTTAATTTATTTATTTAAGGTTTAATAACCAGAGCTATTTCTATTATTCTAGTTTGTTTTTTTTTTTTACTTTAGAATCATTTTCAGTTTAATACTGTACAATCTTTTATTTAGTGCTCCGTAAGATTTACATTTTGTTGAATTTTTTTTCGTTTTCTTAAAGTAATTTTTGTAGTTTATGTAAAATTTTGCTGTAATATTTCAATGTTTTGTCGCGCTCTCTTTTTTTATCTTTTTTATTTTCTTGATTCTTTACCGCTTCTGTCTCTTCCAATGAATGATTAACGTTTTATGATTTTTGTTGATTTTGTTTTCCATTTTGTTTTTCGTCACTAAGCTCCGATTTTTTTATATTTAACCTTCATCCTTTCTAAATTTTTACGTCTTGATTCTTCTAACTTTTCTGGTTTATTCTGGCTTATTTCTATAGAGTTTCATTTCTTCCGTGGCAGTTAGCGGTGCCATTTTGTACGATAACCTTAAAATTAAAATTATTTATTTGAAATTTCATTCAGCACAATAACATCTTCATAAAAAAACTGTTTAAATAAACAAAAACACGACTTCAATGAAATCTTCGCTTTTGAAAGTTAGGGAGAAGAGGTATTACTTCGTTAAAGTTTGTTTTTCGTTTATTTGAACATTTGTTTCACCATTTTTTATTTTAAAAAACTTTCTATATTATTATTTAAATTTACTTTGGTGATTTATTTAATAAAAAGTTAGAATGGAATATCCTATTATTACAAAAAAAGGAATTATGAAAATCGGTCATGTAACACAAACAAAATAAGTTTTAAATATAACAATACTTTTTGCAGACAAGCTTTTATACGCATACTAAATTTCATTCAGTTGTTATTAACCATTAAGCAGTTCCTTCATGAGGAGACACTCCTGTCTGTGACATCAGGTTAAATCTGTCAAAAAACTGCTTTGTCATAAAAACTAAAAGTGCTTGCAAAATTTTAGCTCAATCGGATACCAACATTGAAAAATGGTTTGCAAATTTTGACGGACATATTTTTACTTACATACGAACAGTGCAAGTTAAATAAAAGAAAAAAACATACGTGGTCTTTTTGTGTGGTGTTTTTCTTTTTTTGGAAATCTGTTTAAAATAAATCATGGCTAAAAACTATGTATGGCATCGCCAACATGAAATTCGTTCTGGATTTCAATTAAATATATTCAGCAGATTATACGAGAGCGAAAAACAAATACTTACCTAACGTTAAACATACATTTCATATTCTAATATTTTATATTCGTTGACAGTAGGCTAAAGTATTCGTCCCTTAATGATATCAATTGTGTTACCAATGAGATCAACATATGCGTTACCTACTCAAAAGTAACAAAATTGAGGTAACAAAATTTCAGGTTATGGGATTTTTTACCGCCTAAAAATATTATTTTATTAGCTAACGTTGTAAAAAATAGTGAAAACAAGAGTGAATGCACATAGAAATCATTGGATAAATGTTCTTTTTAATAAAGTATGTACTTACCATTTAAAATCCAGTAACAAGTTTGAGTTTAATCGGTACCCACGACACTCGTGCACGGATTGTTTGACACAGAATACATGTCTGCCTACCAATTTAAGATGAAAGGACTTCGACATGGAGAAAATGTTTACACAGCATTCAAACATCCAAAAAAAAGTAGTAATTTTTACAAAATATGTGAAATATTATGGTAACAATGGTGATAATCAAAATTGAGTTACTCGTAAATTTAGGAAACAAATAAATTGAAAACATTAATAAATTAAATAAGTAAATACATGTACAAAGGTATCATTGTGTAAATAAATAGTGATGTGATTAATCAAAATGGAAAGATGTACTCCTAAAGTTTTATTTTTTGGTAAAATCAATTTTCAAATCATGTGATAGGGGAATCTACAATCTATAGGACAATCTACAATCCATACAAAAAATAAACAGGTTTCAGAAAATAAATATTTTATTATTTTTAAACGCTTCTGGTAGTATTTTATTTGTGATTAATTATATCTATAGATATGACTTTAAAAGATTTTAAAAAATCTGATAAATATGGTGTCTTATATAGTCACAAAATAAACACGAACTTAAAGGACATCTAAATTTAAGGCGGTACAATTTTGGTGAGAACTGCCCATGAGCACAGAATAATACCACAGTATGATAGTACCTATAATAAAGACATAAAACAAATAAAGACTTGTGATAATACTACGTAACTACTGGACAAGACTGACACTTGAACGAGGGCGCGCGCGTAGTCGCGCGAACCTGACGAACACACGATTTTACAATTTAAAAGATAGACGTACCTATAATTGTGTTTTCATTACGATACGATGGTTGTATTTTGTGCTGTATTTGGATGCTTTTCTACTTAAGGAATAATATAGACCGCAGTTTCTTTCGGTTCTCAAAGGAAGAAATAAGGTAAGTTTGCTCTTACTTACCTTATTTCTCTTTACCTACTTTTACATTACAAAGTATCTATACACGTTAAGCCAGTGTTAGTATACTATCATTTTGTATAGATTATTTATTTAGTTTTTTATCATTATTATTACTCATCTACGATATCATTAAATTTAGAACATCATCGTTCCACCCTTCGATCAACAATACCAACTAGATAACGGGTCACGTACAAAATCATATCTAAATACTGTCCACGTGAATATATACCTAAACAGGTAAAGTACGGCCAACGAGAAGTAATACCAAATGCAAATAAAACCAATACAAGGTTACTAGGAATAGCGGGGTGCGTAACTTTTTGATAGTTAGATTACATATTTAAGTAGACAATATAGTTTTAAAAAATGTCTAGAAAACCAAAAAAAATAAACTTTTTACAAATTTTGTTATAATTTGAATTATATAATGTATATTTAAATTAAATAACGAGAATAATATTAATGTTTCTGAATATCGCTTGCCTACAAACTGCGAAATCAACCTTAAATTATAGCAAATAAAGCACTTTTTCCCGTTATTTCCTTGCGAACTACGTCGTTTTGTCATGTTTCTGTTTTGTTCTTCGAATTTGGTCCAGGAAGTATGGAGTCGCGTTGAACACTAAAATAATTTATAATATGGTCATATTCAGTTTAATTAAAATTATTTTTATGTTTACGGCATTTATGATTGTTATATATATATATATATATATATATATATATATATATATATATATATATATATATATATATATATATATATATATTAATGTTTCTTTCTGAAATAAAAATATTATTTATATTTAATGTTGTGCGTGGTGCCAGTGATTACCTACGGATCCGAGACGTGGTCCTTCACTGCTGGCCGTATGAGGACGTTCAAAGTCGCTCAGCGAGCTATGGAGATGGCAGAGTGACTGACATAGCCCAACGGATTAGTAAGCTGAAGTGGCAATGGGCCGGCCATATAGCTCGAAGAACCGACAACCGTTGGAGAAGAAGGGTTCTCGAGTGGCAGCCTCGTACCGGTAGGCGAAGTGTAGGACGACCCCCCACTAGATGGAGTGACGACCTGGTTAGACATGCAGGAAGTCCGATGGATGCAGGTGGCTCAGGACCGTGCTTTGTGGCATACCTTGGGGGAGGCCTATGTTCAGCAGTGACTTGTAAAGAGCTGTAATGATATATATATATATATATATATAACCCCTGAAAGAACAAATATTAATTTTCCAGTCAGGCTTTATTGAAGTTCAGAAATCATCATTTTACCTCCTTCATACATAAACATTTTAGTTAGGTGTCTAGTGTAGTAGTGCCTACTTACAAGAATATTATTTATTTTTATTTCCAGGTGCAAGCAATGGGTACATGCTGCCGGTCGTCCAGAGTTGATAAATAAAACTGTGGAAATTCTCAATAAAACTTACTTCATTTGTGATTTTCATTTTCAAGCAACGGATCGTCTTGTAAAGAAATTGAAGACTGATGTAATTCCAACTCTGAATTTGCCGTATCAAGAAAATGTGAACCCAACAAAATCCACACAAACGGAAGATATTATTCCAGAAAAGTCGTCAACAAACGAAGCTACATCACAGACGTGCACTTTTTTAATTGAAAATACCGATTCCAGTACACAAACTACACAAAATTTGTCAGCCAATACACCACGTAAAAGGAAATTGTTAAGTGACTTACGAACAGAGCGTAAAATACGGAAAATTTTGGAAACTCAGCAACAATGTGCATTTCAAAAAGATACCAATATGTCACCTCAATTACAAAAAATTAATCAATTGTCAGACCCGTCTTAAACTAAACAGTCGTGGCAATAGATACAATAAAGATTTAAAGTTATGTACTTTAAATTTATATTTTGCCAGTCCATTAGCCTATAGAGTTTTAGCAAAAACGTTAAGCCTGCCAAGCGAAAGGACGTTGCGCCGAATGAATATCAACATTGGTACAAAACTTTCACATAAAGTTTTACATTGTTTAGAGACCAAATTAAAAGAGTTAAAAGAATCAGAAAAATACTGCATTATTTGCGCTGACGAAATTTCATTAAAACGGTACTTACATTATCAAATTAACGAAGATAAAATCATAGGTTTTCACGAGATTGACGGTCTACAAACTGCAGAACCAGCAACGCAAGCTTTTGTAATCATGGCCAGAGGTATACATTCCAATTGGAAACAACCGATCGCATATTGTTTTTTGGCTCAAAGCAAAAATTACAAAGAACTTAGTGCATGGTTAGATCATGTTATTTCACAAATTCTGAATATTGGATTTCATGTTGTAGCCTTTGTATCGGATCAAGGTTCAAATTTTTTAAACATGGCTAATGAAAGAAATGTGACTGTTGATAAACCATACTTTTTTATTGAAGGAAAAAAATTTTACTATATCTATGAGGTACCTCATTTGATAAAATCAGTGCGAAACAACCTGATGAAATACGACTTTGAGTATTCGGATACTGATGGACTAAAGTGATTGCAAAGTGGGGAGATGTTAAGACATTTTATAAACAAGACTGTGGCAGAGCTTATCGATTAGCACCAAAACTAACCGAATGCCATATTAATCCCAACAATTTTGAAAAAATGAAGGTGAAATATGCTACTCAGGTCTTTAGCAGCACTGTTGCGGCAGCTATGCATATTTCAATTGAATGTGGGCGACTAGAAAAATCTTCCTTGGGGACTGTTAAGCTGATCGAGTTGATGGATAAAACTTTCAATGTGTTAAATTCATCTGCTGCCTTTGCTGCCTCATCACACCAAACTGAACTCACAAAAAAAAATCGAACTGATCAAGTACTAGATCAGTTCGATCTCTTTTTGTCTAATGTCACTGTTCTCAACAGCCACAAGAAAAATGTGACTAATGCAATAAAATGCCTAAGATGTTTGAAAATTAGTTTAAATAGTATTAAAAGCCTTTCACAAGATCTACAGTCTAATGGATTCAGTTTTTTTTTTCACGCGGAGGTTGAACAAAGATCCGTTGGAGAAATTTTTCGGCTTAGTCAGACAACAGGGTGGAAATTGCCGAGCACCAACACCACTTCAATTTAGCAGGGCTTTTAGAAAATTATTCATGGTAAACTTCCTTAAACACTCGGATCATGCCAACTGTACTGACGATTTAGACCAACTGCTTATGAACACCGATGACATAGCTGGTGTAAACGTTATATCTTCGTTCTGTCCTGTGGATGACAGTTCGCATGAGGAATTCTCGACTAATCCATTAACTCTTGCAGTTAGCACAGTAGACTACCGTTTTGATTTACCAGAAAAGAACGCGTTTGAATATGTTTGTGGCTACTTATTAAAAAAATGTTTTGACATTCACCAGTGCGAAGGTATAAATCAGTATATAATAACCAACTCTCACGTTCGAGATGACAACGGTTTTGTACAATTAAAATCATTTACCTAACCGAAATAATCTTCTTCTAATAAACCCCCCAATAAGTTTTGTTAATTGTGTAAAAGCAATGGACGATCAATTCAAATTTTTTTTTCGAAAATGAAATTCTTAAATCCGTCGGAAACGAAATTCTTAAAAAAATAAGGAACCTTTGCGTTACCGATTGCTGTCTATGTTTTCCAAACCTTTATTTACAAAAACTTTTTGTGAGATTTAGAATTTTCAATACCATGCGTTTTAATAATAGATCATTTAGGGATAAAACATTAAAACGAAAATATTTTAGTGTAAGTAATATTTAAATGACCTATTTTGTATTCTTTGATTGAAAAATAAAACTCTATTTCAATAGAGAATCTTTCAAGATACCTATAATTTCAATAGAACCCAAGCAATAGTGAATAATTAGGATCGATCCTCATTTCGATCTCGGTCTGATAAAATATTATCAAGTAAAAAATATGTGTGTGCATTCGTACTATCCGAACAAGTTTCGCTCGAATCCCATTCCAATTATATTAAATCGGACCGAGAACGAACTGTGAACGACAAATGAAGATCGGCCCTTACGCTTCTAGTGCAAGGTTACTTCATATATCGCACACGTTTTACTCCGCCCCGCTCGCGCCGCCCGCATCTAGCCGCGCCGCTTCAACGTCGGCCGCCGCACTTCTCTACAAAATTTCACGCACACATTTGCGCGTGTATAAACGTCATAAATTGCCTATGCAGTAATAATAGATAATCAATTTGCGAGTGTTGTATGTTATGACTGAGTGTATGGAAGTCTAGTGCTATTGTCAATCCGAATGCCATCCATACCTTCAAAAGTGGCAGAAGCCTATGTCCAGCAGTGGAATTTTACAAGTCGGTTAAGAAAAAGAATAAGGAGATGCTGATTCGTGACAAACTCCTTACTCACACATTAGGGTTTTCTTAGGTATCGCGCAGGCATTTACCGTTACCGTTACCGTTACAGCCTGTCCTGAGTCCACTGCTGAACCTGAACATAGGTCTCCAAAGATTGCCTCATAGGCAGAACTTTGCCAAAGTTGCCACGCATGCGCGTTAGCCACCACGGTTTTTTATTGCTCAGATGTTATTTGGAAGACGCTGCTGCCATCTCCAGCTTCGTTTTCCCCTGTCGCCTCTTACGACACACACGGGACATCCAATCTTTGGAACAGTATTATTTATTTTGTAGGTTTTATGAAGTCCAAACATTTGATCTATCCATTTAAACGCAAAGCAACTTCGCTCCCGATTACTGGAGATCTAATCATGAAAAATCGTGAATACATTATAGGTCTATTTTTGCGAGATTGGAATTTTACCTGAGTTTAATGTGGCTATAAGCTTTGCATGTGATTTAATTGATTAATAGTTCACTGGGCAAACTTTTGCCTGCCTTATTGGTCCATGGTTATAAGCGCACCTGCTAACCATGAGGTATCGGGTTCGCATTCGGGCAAAAATCAATTATTGGGTGTTTCTGTTATGAAACTCTTAGAGGCAGCCCGGAGTCATGAAGTTGATAGTATTTCTACCCCGTACCTCGGAAACACGTGCCTAAAGCCGTTAATCCTGTGCCGGATCTCTTTTCGGTCGTTTCGGATTGCGTCTCATCAGCCTATTATAGTGAGCAAATAGAAATTGAATCTGTGCTTTCCTATTCCCTGTAATTCGTATTCCCATTTAATTTCTATACAAAATTTCTTTTCGACAGCTTGTAAAATGTATTTCAATTCAATTTACATCATAGTTAGACCACTCATATATTACATTCTATTATTTTGTCCATCGTTCAATGTGTTATAGGTACTCTCAAACAATAACAATAACTAAAACAAGTTATTGTTCTGAGATCATACTATAATAAGCTGCTGCAACAAACTTATGAAATTAAAATATTCAAACAATCCTGATTACGTTATATAGATAGTCTCTGATGGTCTCGGGTATAAAATATGGAAGTATCCTTCCAACTAAAGCAGTCCCTCAGTCGCGTCGCTACAGTTTCAAATTCCCTTAGAGTACAAATAAGCATAGGTAGCTTGCATATAAATATTCTAAGCAAAAAAAAATTAAAAAAACATTAGTAAAAAAAATATTTGGTAAAAGGGCTGACAAAAAGGTCCAAAGGCCATTTGAATTTACAAAATGAAAATAAAATTAAAATGAATTAAATGTCCCAAAAGCTACTAACAAAATTTAAAAATGTTAAAAAAATCGTTTTTATATTGGGAAAAATATTAAAAATTGTATATGGAGGTACATACCTATATGTTTTCGTGGCAGTGGAGCAAAATAAAACTAAACGCAGTAAGGAATAAATTAATCGTATCAATTATTTCGTTTCAGTGGATAATAAAGCTAATAAGGCTTGAAAATTATAACTTTAAGCAAGTACTTAAAGTTAAAAAGATTTTTAAATGCAATATGATATGCAGAGTTTCTAAATTCGTTGGAATGCGGAAGATTTATTAAAATAAATCACAAACTTCTAATAACATTAGCATTTTATTAGAAATTTGAGAGATACAGGTTAGCTACTTGCAAAAAGTGAAAACAAAAATTGGCCGTTTAGTGCTTAGTTTATGTATGTCACCTTATGAAATGATTGTACAAATAATATATATGTTACAGTCAAAACTCATAACCGGCCAAAACCACTTTTGACTGCAAAAATCTGACAAAACTAATTTTGACTAAGGACTATGGTCGAAACTACTTTTTATTTTTACTGGTATATTTTTATGTACTCGTATTTACTCAAATGATAAGGCCATTTGTGTCTATAAAACATTACACAAATCCTGGATTGTCAGTGAGAGTAGGTTATGGTGCGGCTGAGGTGGCCCTTGAGCCACCCTAAAGCATATATTGAAAGAATTGAGCTAGAACGTTGGTCAAATCACATAACTGAAAACATTGGTAAAAATCACTACAAAAATCAGCGAAAACTGTGTTTGAATAAGGACATCGGTAAAAACCATTTTGGCCTGATTTCATCAGTCAAAAGGGGTTTTGGCCGATTGTGACTCACATTCCATCAAAAATCCACAGCTGAATAAAGGCTTTCCCGTACATACATTTGCAATGTTTTGTTTATTTTAAATTTTTTTTCTTTTTTCTTTTTTTTTTTTTTTTTTTAAAACGTTACCCCTACACTAAGATTTTCTCTTGTATTGTGGGGGCAGTTTACAAACATAAATTGCTCAAGGACGAACATCCAGACCCGGAACAACTACTTGTAGGCCATACAAATACTTGTTCCGTGCGGGATTTTTAATTACCTATTACATTTTAAGATTTAGTTTTACTTAATTACGAGTATCTGTTAAATAAATGCAGTAAAAAGACATGTTCT